GCCACAGAAGTCGTCATCAGCAGCGACGAATTTGCCAATGAATCATTGGAGAGGCTGGATCACGTAAGACCCAAACTAAAGTCGATACTGAGCATTAGGAGAACAGAAACCATACCAAACAATTCAGATACGACTCTTATCAGTGCAAAGGTCTATTCAAAGGGAATACATGGACATAAAATCGTTCTCTGGACAATTCATAACATGTAGTTGGAGTGAGAATAGATGAGCGACGCGGGCTCCCAATTGGCTGTATAGAAATGGTATCCGATCCCGATTATTGGTCTAAGATATGTAAGTGAGATCGGATTCCCTTGGTTTCACGTCTATTTAAGAGTCAGTTTTCATGTTTGAAGGTTAGAACACCTACAAGCTTGGCTCCCCCTTGAACCCGCATCGCCAACCAGATAGTGCAGTCTTTGCGGATCTCATAGTCATCAAGGGTCTTGTTGTCCTCAAGTTGGTGCCCACCATAAAGTAGACGCTGATCCTTTGGGGGAATATCTTCTTCCTCTTCGATTTTTTCTTTCAACATTCGAACCGTATCCTCTGGTCCATTCATATAAATAGTGCGAGTTTTCCCAGAAAGATTTTTGAGAAATAATATAAAATTTCCTTCTGCTTGGTTAACCATGAATGATGGAAAGCTCGCAAAGTGTGGGATTGAGGGGTTCGAGGGGGGTTGCCAAATCCTTGCCCTTCACCTTATGAATTTGTCGTCACGTTGTATTACTGTAATTTATAAAGGCACGTATACTGCGGATAATGTCAGTCTCTACGAAGCCACACCCTCTTCCCCTAGCACCAAGAAGAGGGTCAGTTACGTAACAGCACAGTTATCCCTTATACCGGTCATGTTTATAGAATCCTCCTTCAGGCTTCGATGATTGAACAGGACATCCACGAGGCATAGAGGCCAGCCAATTATGCATTTCTGGGAAAAAAGCCTGACTGGCTGATCTCCGTTAGTTTACAAGAAATACACCAAAATTTAAATCCTGAAAAACACAAGCAGGCAGTTTCGAAGTGAATGAGACATGTTGATGGGTCGTAATAGAGGCCAGGAAATAGTGGAGTGTCAGAGACTGCTGCAGGACTCACTCAATGAAGTGGTACAAACAATTTGATAATTCGATTGAATTTTAGATCAAACAGTGCGATTTGAGACGGTGCATTCATACCAGAATCTCGTGATGAGGTGATGAAGCGAATCCAGAGCCTGACCATCTCTTCCTCGGTCCCATGACTGAGATGACGTCATATTTCAGGAAACTTGGCGAGATAGGAGCCTGTACAAATGGACGCTAGCAGGCGTAATGGGTACCCCTCTCCATCCGCGTCCCATCCTCACCGACTCTGATCCATAT